CCAGGTTTAGACTGTAGGGTTCAATATTGAGTTGAATCCTTTACAGATATAACAGCTTCAACTCTTCTGGGAAGGCTGTCCACAAGGTTTAGGAGTGTGTCTATGGAAGTGTTTGACCATTCTTCCAGAAGCATATTTGTGAGGTCGGGCACTGATGTTGGATGAGAAGGCCTGGCTCGCAGTCTCCACTCTAATCCATCCCAAAGGTGTTCTATCGGATTGAGGTCAGGACTCTGTGCAGGCCAGTCAAGTTCCTCCACCCCAAACTCACTCATCCATGTCTTTATGGACCTTGCTTTGTGCACTGGTGTGCAGTCATGTTGGAACAGGAAGGGACCATCCCCAAAATGTTCCCACAAAGTTGGGAGCATGAAAATGTCCAAAATGTCTTGATATTCTGAGGTTTTAAGAGTTCCTTTCACTGGAACTAAGGGGTCAAGCCCAACCCCTGAAAAACAACCCCACACCATAATCCCCCCTCTACCAAACTTTACATTTGGCACAATGCAGTCAGGCAAGTACCGTTCTCTTGGCAACCGCCATACCCGGACACGTCCATCGGATTGCCAGAGAGAGAATCATGATACGTCACTTCAGAGAACACGTCTCCACTGCTCTAGAGTCCAGTGGCAGCGTGCTTTACACCACTGCATCCGACACTTTGCATTGCACTTGGTGATGTAGGACTTGGATGCAGCTGCTCGGCCATGGAACCCATTCCATGAAGCTCTCTATGCGTTGTTGTTGTGCTAATCTGAAGGACACACAAAGTTTGGAGGTCTTTAGCTATTGACTCTGCAGACAGCTGGTGACTTTTGTGCACTGTAAGCTTCAGCATGCGCTGATCCCACTCTGTCCTTTTACGTGGCCTACCACTTCATGGCTGAGTTGCTGTTTTTTCCCAGTTGCTTCCACTTTTTTATACCACCAACAGTTGACCATGGAATATTTAGTAGCAAGGAATTTTGCACAGGTGGCAACCTATCACAGTACCACGCTGGAATTCACTGAGCTCCCGAGAGCAACCTATTATTTCACAAATGTTTGTAGTGGCCATGGAGGTGATTGGAACACCTGAATCCAATGATTTGGAGGGGTGTCCCAATACTTTTGGCAATACAGTGTATTGAGTATATTCTGTTTAAAACCACTTCTGATTTTCTTATTACGATCAAGAATATAAGATTACCACATGAGAATTGTCTGTTGAATGTTGCAAATTTATATTCCTCAATCCCACAGCTTGAGGACATGGTAGAAATCAGAGAGTGCTTACGTACAGATTCTCAACTTAATTATTTATAAAATGAATTTCTTATGTCTCTCGTACAATTTGTACTGTATCATAACTACATTTTGTTTCAGAATTTTTTATTTTCTAGAACTCAGCGACTTTGCCATGTATAAAACATACTGTATTTGGTGCACAATTAGAGCAGGCCTTGATCAGCAGTAGCAACAAATTTTAAACTTTGTTGTCTATGGATGTGTTATGAAGGTGATGTGACCATGAACTGGTCAGTGGAGTTAAAAGATCTACAGAAATTTCCAAAATTTCTTAGAGTCACATCTTAGCATTTCATGCTTACCTTGCAATCTGAAAAAAAAAAAAATCACTGTTGTTATAAACTGTACGTAGTATAAATTACAGTATGTCAACCTTCAAATGTCCTCAAAATGTCTGTATAGATTTGAGCAAATAACATATTTATTAACTTTTTTTTTCTTTGGACTGTGCAATAAATAGTCACTGTCTAAACATACAGAATTGCTAAACTTAGACCTCCAAAATGCACTGGTTATTTTTTTTTATTACTTTTTGTGTATCAAGCTTGAATATAATATCTCATAGGTATGCAATTTACTTGCAAAATAAAAAATGGTCCTATAAGTAAGAAAAAAATGTGGTTGTGAAGAATTAAATTGAACATGGAGTCCACATAAACATATGAATAATAATGATGTGAACCTCCTGCGCTCACTAGTGTTCAACTCTATATATAGAGAAGAGAAGCTGCTAACATTAAATCATATACCAATGATTACCATAGACATATATAAATAATAAATTATAATGTAGCGCTACTCACATAATTAACAAGTGCATATAAATATATGTACCAAGTGTATCAATTAGTGAAAATTGCCAAATCAACTATTGACCAAGTGCTTTCATGCAAAAATCCAAACAATTATATGTGAACACAAAATGTGATGGTGATAATTGAAAACAATTGATGCTGATCAAATACAATCTTCAAAAAAATAATTATAATGACCTAAATCATATGGAAAACATATATATCTCTTTATACAAATCCATTCAGTGTAAATAATATATAAAATCACGCGTGCATATAGTGAACATACTATAGTGAAACCACAATACAAAAACAACAAAATCAGTGCTCTTAAAGTCCAATATATGCTGATAGTAACACTTAGATGACACACACTCGTGCTGATATTTGTGTGCAAGTGGATATGACAATCCGACCACCGTCTGGATGAGCCTCTCACCTTATAGCTTCGACCCTTGCGGGTCAAAGCGCTTTACTGGATCCTTCTCACGGATCCTCCAAGCCTGCTATCCCTCCAAATGGTCGCTCCTTGTCGCACCCAAATCCCTCAAGGGGTCAGCACTCCACTAATGGCTCCTCTCCAGGTAAGATCAAGTGTAGCACCAATCTCTCATGTGGAAGTCACATGGTATTGTGACGCAACGCGTCAGCCTAACGTAGTGATGCACTTCCGGAGTAGCGGCCATCTTGGTACACCTGTACACCCTTTGTACACCCATACATTCCTTTCCTCATCCGAAAGCATGAGGTTTGAACTGGATACTGCTGCTATGTGAGTTTATTATTTTTATTATTCCTAGATTGTAAGCTCGAAAGAGCAGGGCCCTCAATCCCCTCATGTTTTGCATTGTATTGGTATTGTTCTGTCACATGTTCTGTCCCCCTTTTGTAATGTACAGCGCTGAGCGAACTATTGGCACTTTATAAATACTGAATAATAATAATTATTATTTTTGTTATTGTCCCTACTTTACAAATAAACTTACTACACTATGGGAGGATCTATTTTATGTCTCACATGAGAGATTGGTGCTACACTTGATCTTACCTGGAGAGGAGCCATTAGTGGAGTGCTGACCCCTTGAGGGATTTGGGTGCGACAAGGAGCGACCATTTGGAGGGATAGCAGGCTTGGAGGATCCGTGAGAAGGATCCAGTAAAGTGCTTTGACCCGCAAGGGTCGAAGCTATAAGGTGAGAGGCTCATCCAGACGGTGGTCGGATTGTCATATCCACTTGCACACAAATATCAGCACGAGTGTGTGTCATCTAAGTGTTACCATCGGCATATATTGGACTTTAAGAGCACTGATTTTGTTGTTTTTGTATGGTGGTTTCACTATAGTATGTTCACTATATGCACGCGTGATTTTATATATTATTTACACTGAATGGATTTGTATAAAGAGATATATATGTTTTCCATATGATTTAGGTCATTAAAATTATTTTTGAAGATTGTATTTGATCAGCATCAATTGTTTTCAATTATCACCATCACATATTGTGTTCACATATAATTGTTTGGATTTTTGCATGAAATCACTTGGTCAATAGTTGATTTGGCAATTTTCACTAATTGATACACTTGGTACATATATTTATATGCAAATGAACATATTACTAACATTAGGCCCTAATAGTAAGCACTGAAGGTAGCTACATAAAAATTTAGTTGTCAACAAAACATTTTTCTGTAGTTCTGGAATGCCCTTTAAGATAGATGCATGCTATATGAATTTGGGGGCGGACACTAGACCAATACTCCGCACGAAAGAGAGAGAGCAGCAGTGACCGGTCTGAAATATAGGTAACTCCTACAGAAAAGCAGAGTGTATGGGTTGTTTCATGCTAGATTACTGTACAGATCTGGAAAAAAAAGACAAAAACACATAAGACACTATGTTTTAAAGTGTAAGCTCACCTGTTCACTAAAAAAACTAAAAGGAGAACTAGCACCGTACACCCTCCCCACCTTTCCAGTCTCCATTGCACTTGCCTCCATCTCATAAAGCTAAATTGCCAGCTGCGCGGTGCGAGGCAGTGGATTGAAAAAAGTACTGCTTGCTTTACATTCTTTCAGTGCATCGCGTCTGCACACAACTGCAACACATTGATGTGAACCAGGCACATGGGACACAAGACATTTTGCCTTGTCCATGCAGTGGGACTGTGCTAGAATAGCTGCCCAACACATGTGGTGTGGAAATACCTTCAGGGCTCTGGGTACAAATCAGAGCGATTATGATTGGTGAAAGTGGTAAAGGAAATACAGGGGAAGATTATTGGGGCTTTCAAATCTCCAGATTGCTGCACCGGCTGCATGGGCAGTGACAGCTAACCACCCACGGAGGTAAGTGCAGTGGGAAAATGATGTGTGTGTGGGGGGGAGGAGGCTCTGAAAAGCTGAACTTACACTTTAAGTAAGAATACACATTCCTCTTGTATTCAGGCCGTATGTGCAAAGCCTGGATTTCAACTTTAAGATGAGGTTATTAATCAGCTTATAATGACATACAAAAGAAATGCATCACAAATTACTTAGCCTAAGATTTTCTTCTAATGATGTTCCTTTGTATATCCTTGTACCGGTGTCAAGAAAAATTAAATAAAGAAAAGCCACCACATACAAACAAAGAGACATTTGAAATGGTAAACAAATGAAACTGCTGTACAAATGCACTAATGGCTTTTTCTAAGACTAACTAGTTTCTTAAGTGCTACTTGCGACATGTAAAGGTGGACACATGCATGGAAGTTGACACATGCAGGATATAACCTTTAGCTGTGGAAGCATAAGAGGACATAGGTAGGGAAGGTAAAGTATGACAATGTTGTGCTGAGGCAGATGGATGATAAGGAGCAAGGGGAACAGAATACCTTGAGGCCAGGCTGAGGGAAAGGGCCTAGGCTGCATGCTTTAGTGTAAGAGAGGCTGGATAGTTGCATACTCGACAAGGTCTCCGCTGGCGTGGAAGGAGCTCCCGGTGATGGGAGGTGACGCCAGGGCAGATGTATCCAGCTCAGCATACTGGACATCCAGGTCCATGTGACAGGAAGTCTGTAGATCAGAGTACCAGAATGTGAGAGAGATGGGGGTAAAATAAGGATCATTAGGATAAGGACAAGGAAATCAGGCAGGAAGGAAAAAACATGCAGCCACATAAAGTGTCAAGAAGGGTAATAAAGTAAAAATGCAAAGATTAACACAGAAAATATCATTTTAAACTTAAAAGGCACCTAACATTTGGGGGAAAAAACAAAGTTTGAGGAGAAAATCAATTTGTACTGGGTTGCTTCTATTATGAGGAATTACCTCTCTCTTAGCCTCTCAAACAAATATTATATGTATTAACAAGTCTAACCTGGATATTTTCAATGCTACTTATTTTTCAAGAGACCACATTAAAGTTGAAAAAAACGTCATAGAAAAGTCTGCTGCCATCATCAGTCCTTACCGTGTTGCCATAGTAAAAAGTAAACAGCATGGCAGCACTAAGAACTTAATCTGGCCTTAAACAGGATGGTTCCAAATTTCCATAAAATATTTTTTTTATTGGAAGCACAAAGCACATAATCTATCTTCTTTGCATTAGTTTGCTACTTAGAAGATATGTATAACAAAAATGTTGCAGGCTTCCTTCAAAAATGTAATTGCCTTAATTTACAGGAGGTGCTGTCAGCGGTCCTGGTACACAGTGCTATCAAGGTGACAGCGAACCCTTCAGAATATACCAGGAAAGTTGGTGTGGAAGGTGGGAGAGTTGGTGTTCTATTCAGCGTGCCCTAAGCATAGCAATTGAAGACACACATAGGGGTTTATTTACTAATGTAGACAATGTGGTAGTGTGACAAGAGCAACACCACCTAGAGAAAAGAGGTTACTTAAAGATCCACGCGGAGTAATGTAGGTTCAGTAGTTACAAAGAGTACTTTATTTGATCACATAGATCATGGGGAGGTTAAACATAAGCACGGTGAACATATCAGACAAATAAAATCATTTAAAAGCACTTGGCGTCCTCATTTCTGGGTGATTTTGGCACATAGGGAACCCAGAAATGAGGACGCCAAGTGCTTTTAAATGATTTTATTTGACTGATATGTTCACCGTGCTTATGTTTAACCTCCCCATGATCTATGTAATCAAATAAAGTACTCTTTGTAACTACTGAACCTACATTACTCCGCGTGGATCTTTAAGTAACCTCTTTTCTCTAGGTGGTGTTGCTCTTGTCACACTACCACATTGTCTACTATGCATTTCCCGGTTTATAAATCCACACTTCTATGATAAGTGAGTCGGAGATAGTACTAGGACACACAAACTATTTGTGCCTTTACAGGTGGCTTCTTTCTGTTCTATTTTTGTGGTTTATTTACTAAACCTGAAGAGTACAAAGTCAGGCTCACTTCTGCAGAGAAACCAATCAGCTTCCAGGTTTCATTGCCAAAGCTTAACTGAACAAGCTGAGGTTAGAAGCTGATTGGTTTCTATGCAGACGTGAGCCTGACTTTGTACTCTCCAGGTTTAGTAAATAAACCTCCTAGTCTAGTGTCTTCAAAATTGGGTAGGTAGCAACCCTACTGTGGAAGAAAATGTTACATTATAGGTTGGCTCACCTCTAGGACATTGTATAGTGGATTTTTCTTTTTTATCCCTCTTTTTAATCTAACTGTGCTGACTCTGATTACAACTCAGACTTATGTCACACAAGCAACTGCGTTTCTGCCTCGATGAGAGTCTTCAGCCAAAAAACAGAAGACTTTCACTCTTCAGTGAGGAAGCAATGTCATTAGAACAAATAATATTGTGTTTAGAGATCCTGTTGCTGGCCAGTTGCCTTCAGCAATAGGATCACTATCATCCCATGGCTCTTCCTCATGCCCAAGGATCTTTTCTATTGACGTTCAATACATGAGACACGTAGGCAGTCCTAATACAATGATATATAATCAATTAGTGCAACACTAGACATATAATATAAATAACATATATATAAAACTAGTCACAGTAGAATGTCACACATCTATTCATGCAATAAGGTGACCAAATAATGTGATCATATTAAGGAATAGATCTCAATAATACACGTGTCCCCAGTGCCACTCACTGATGTGAATGTGAGTAAAATAAGTATCATAAAAAAGTTCATAACACTATGCAGTGGTGCTCAACTCCAAGCGGTATGATGCAATGCAAGTGATCACACAATAACTTCAAGTGATGGTAAGTGATTCTCCTCCTTTGGTAAAATTGCCCCCTCACCTCCACTCTGCGGCCCAAAGGGCCTATACGCCTTTAAGATCACTCAGGATCTTGATCCAATATAGACAGACATCACCAGCAAATCTCCCATAGGCTTCCCATCCGGTAAGGTAAGTATTAAGGATACACTGGCTCCTGGTCTCAGCAAGATATACCTCTCATCCGGATGACATAAACATAGGAAGAATCTCTCATAGCGTATTATGTCACACAGTGGGTACTTTAATTTGGTAAATAAGATGTCAACTCACACGCTGAAATCACAATCCACAGTTCCATGTATGGGTGTACTGTATGGGTTTTCAGGTAAAACAAGGTGTTCTAAGATGGCGACCTTACCGGATGTACGTCACCGCCAAACCGGATGCTGTGTCACCGCGTATCTACGCGTTGCGTCATCGTCATGTGACTTCATCGGGATATATGAATAGATGTGTGACATTCTATTGTGACTAGTTTTATATATATGTTATTTACATTATATGTCTAGCGCTGCACTAATTGATTATATATCATTGTATTATTGCTGTTGGGTACCACTTTGAGTGTTGGCGGCTTCTGATTGGTATAGGGACTCCATTGAGCGCAGGAGGATTACATATCTTTAGTAGGCAGTCCTGCTCCATTCTTTTATAACTTCCATATAAGATCTATTTGCAATTCTCTTAAACTTTAACAAATTAAAGTACAGTTCATTTTAAATGTTATAAGAACAATTTTAAACATTTAAATAATCATTTGAATTAAGAAAGTTTTCCTACTGCCAATAACATTAGTATAGTATATCTACAGAGACATTTCATTAGCAATAAGTGATTATAATAAAATGGTTATTTAAAAGTTTAAAATTATTTTTTTACACAACTCAATCTGATCAACAGAGCTTGCCAAAGATTTGAAACACATGTATATTATGTACAGTGACACAAATAAAATTCATAATAACTGTTAAATGAAATATTGGGCAATAGATAGCCTAGATGTTGTATACTGTATGTGTATGAACGTTTCTCTCCCACAATCACAGAGCTGCAGCTGAAAATCTGATTTCAAATACAATCAACAAAACCCAGGGAAATAAATGGCTGTGCTTGTATAAAAGAGAAAGGCAGCTCCCACTCAGAGGGCTGCAATGAATAGACTGATCAATGGTAAAGCTTCAACATAAGAAGTTACAGTACACCTGCACTCATATGCACCAGTCCCACTCGCCAGACAGCTCCACTGGTCTCACAGAATCCTTCTCAGTCGATAGGTACTTATTGTAGTCCCAGCCGATGACTCTAGGTAAAGATGTTCCAGCATTCACAAAGGGGTATTGTCTATGTATGACATCTCTGCATCTACTTATGTGACAGGATGGGCAGTCAGCTGAATGATCATATAGGGAGTAACATTAACATACAGTAAAATAGATTATGCTGCACAAACATAGAATCTTTATAGCAATGTCTTTGTGGCTTCATCAGGGCAACATGCGGCTGCATAGCATAGCCTCTAATAAACTCTATAGCAACAGAGAGTCTAGCTGACAATTACTACTTCAGTAAAACATTTTAGCACACAAACAGCTATGGTGCTTGCACTTATCCTCATAAACAGTATCCCTCTCAGTGAAGTCCAAGGTAGTTTTTGTAACACAGGTGAAACAGCTAGAGGGATCCAAAGCCTAGGGACCAAAGGACAGCCAACCTACTGAAACTAGAATACTATGATAGCAATTAGACAGTCTTACAAAAAAACTAAGTGCTATTAGGCTCCAGCCCGGCTGCCTGCAGGCCAGTTCTGAATCTACATACATTATTATTATTATACAGGATTAATATAGCGCAGTGCTTTACAAAATGTGCAATCCAATGAAAGTGCCAAACAAACCTCCAAGAGCCCAAAGTTATTAATGATAACATTGATTCACAGCACAAAAAAGCCTTGCGTTTGCATGTCAGCTCTGACAATGGAGGGCCTCTAACCTTGCTGCAGATCACTTGCCCAGCTACCTCTGCATCTTCAGTTGTGGCTTCTCCAAGCTGCTGAGGAAAGAAAGCTAGGGAAAGTATCTTTCCTGGGCATGTCAAGGAACCCAAGGTGTAGTCATCTCAGTTTATCTTAGGTTTCTTCTGTCTGGATATAGTAGATTGGCATACCTAGAATGGGCTGTTGGACTACTCCAGGGACTTCTTTCCACCATTTTTGCGGTTGTCCTTGCTGGTGTGTGCCTTTACATCAGACTAGCACTCTGTTCTCACGGTGAAGGTTAAAGTCTGCTTCAAGCTCTTCTTGCTCCATTCATGACCAGTCTTTAACAAACTGTTGGACTTCAGACAGGCATTATTTCCACTCCTGAATCTAAAAAGTTGGAATGTGTTCAAATTCTTTTGTGGGCATTGTGGTCTATAGGTTTTTGCCCCTCCCCCTAGAGGATGGCCAAACATAACAGGTGAGTGGCCTGTCAAGAAATGGTCTATATGGTTGTACTTCCAGACCACTTCATCTAAATAATGGATCCATTTCCTTCATTTCTCACATGCAAAGCCTCTGAGCAGTAGTATCATAATCAGAAGGACTGATAGAATAATTTGTGTTCAGGATCACTTCAACCAAATGGCTTGCATTCTCTCTGGTGCCAAGTTTTGGTGTGTGGTGGACTGGGTTGATAAATTACTGGGAGGGGCTGGGCATGACCCAGCTGTCCTGGTCCATGTTGGAACCAATGACAGAATACATGGACGATGGATAATTCTTAAGGATCAATTTAAAGAACTAGGCTGTAAGTTGTAGGGAAGGACCTCCAA